AGGCTGTATAACATGACTACCATTACAGAAGTGAATTTTTTAATTGATGTTTGCCAAGCTGACCTTCAACTTGAAAAACTACTTTTAAAAAAATGACGTTTTGCTATATGTGGACATAAAATTACAGAAAAAATTGACTGTGAAGCTTAAAAAGACAGCATACAGATGGCAACCATAAAACACTGCCATGAAGAGAAAGCAGTTTTAAAATTTTTAATTATCTTTATGAACTTGAACACATGCATCTTTGCAAACTACTGGATTATCAAATAATATAGAAACTTCAAAGTCTGTACCACTTTAAGTGAAGAAAAATAGTTCTTATTACTTAAATTTTAAATGGCTATAATATGGGAACAGGGTCAATTGATAGAGCTGGTGAGCTGTATGAACGCACCTGTCCTCAGGAAATTCAAAACCAGTAAGAGCTCTAAGAAGAAAGCCTTCATCCTTACAGAAGGACCTCTGAGCTTTACATGGAGCTCTGCATAGAAGCCCCAAGAATCCACTGATGTCGCTGTCACTCAGTGTGTGAGTGTCCTAACAAAGTTAGTGTCCTAACAAAGGACAGAGCCCTCTCGCATGAATGAGAAGTGGCAAGGTCTCTATCTTGTCTGATGTCTTAAAACAATCACTCGAGTATCCCATAGTAAATTAACAGGAGTATTTTTTAATAATTTTTTTCTTTTTTTGAATGCACCTTTAACAAAATACTACAGTCGTTTCAGGAAGACAGTACAGTATTCACATAGCAGATATAAATAGAAACAGGTTTTCTCAAACCAGTAGGTGAATGTGTATTTGCTCCACTCTTTCCAAGCTGCAAGCCATGGAAAGGAAGGCCTGGTGCCAGTGTGAGAAGAGTTTCCTCAAAAATGTGAGCTGTGAGTTCAAAAAGGCATAAACGTCTGCATGGCTGACTCGGGACAGAGCAAAGACTTGGCATTATTCCAGGGATGGGAAGTACTGACTGACTAACCAGAGACACACCCAATAAGATTACCTTCAAATACATCTTCTTACTTCATAAAGATAATAAACAATGTTTCCATTTAAATATTTCCAAGATTGCTATCATAAGATGAGTAACTGAAATTACTAATCACTAGCTGGATATGCTCCAACTAAATATATTTAAAGAGATATAATTCTGCAGAACCACAGAGCAAGAGAGGACTGCAGATACTTGTGTAGTGGCAGATCTCTTATGTTTTTAAATATATAGTAAGGGAGTCTTCAGGAACCCTAATAAACACTGAAGATAGGAGACAGATGAATGAATACTATTAATAAAATTCATAGAAAATTATAACAAGGAGTTGAAATCACCTTATAGACCCCTGTCAATCCTTTTACTAATTAGAAAAAAAAAACAAATTAGATTTCGTTCACATTTCACTGTTTAATAAAGCCAAGAGAGACTGCATGTCTAAGGTATACAGTAAAATAATTACTACAACAGACTTTAACTGGGGGAGTATTCTTTAGCCCTCAATTGATTGGATCCCACAGTCAATCAAACTAAATGATACTAAAATGATTTACAGAAGATACTAACTTCAGATTAAAAGGCAATAAATGCACATAACTACCCTCATTATTCAGATGTGTATCTTGTCTGAAACCTCAGTGCAGAGTTTACACCCAATTTAAACTATCTGAAATGTCAGTACAGTGCCAGTTGGGAAAAAGCTATAATGAGCTCATTTCCTCCAACTCTTGACTTTGATATTCCAGAATGCCAGTTCAAAAAGGATAAACTCCTACTAAAGCATAAAAGACTGCTGAAATTACTAAATAAAATAATAAGAAAACTGTTTAATGGTGATAATGAACTAGGATGCCTAGAGGCTTTTAAAAGGCAATAAGCAGACCCTGTATTTCACAAGAATTGGTCATTTTTCTGGCAGTGAACCAAAGAGAAGTCAGCCTTTTCCTATAGAATATTTTAAAAATCTGAATTTATTTTTAAGTCATAATTCAGCTAAAACTTGAGATCTCAGATGGGCAAAATATTCTCAAAGACAGACAGCTTACTATATTTACCACTAATTTAAAAGTCAGGGTTTACAATACCAGGCTTCTGAACAGCAGGTTTTGCTTTCCTCTCAGACATAATAACTACTCAGGCATATGTGATCAAACAATGATGCTTAATCATTTTGTAGACCAACTAGCTAGGCTTTTCTTTAGCTATAAATTTACACAGAATATAGTTACCTGGACTTTTTTCCAACACTACATCTATTAGATTAAAATGCCTTCATTAACCAGTGGCTAAAAATAATGCAATTCACCATTAAGAGATTTTTTAAATACAAACATCATGCGGTACTTTGGGATCCCATCATAAACTAAAATTACTGATTACCACAGCTTAATATTTACTGACACTACTTTTGGGAAACATTCATTCAAAGAATACTGGGTGGACTTCCCTGGTGGTGCAGTGGTTAAGAATTCGCCTGCCAATGCAGAGGACACAGGTTCAAGCCCTGGTCCGGGAAGATCCCACATGCTGCGGAGCAACTAAGCCCGTGCGCCACAACTACTGAGCCTGCGCTTTAGAGCCTGTGAACCACAACTACTGAGCCTGCATGCCACAACTACTGAAGCCGATGCGCCTAGAGCCTGTGCTCTGCAAACGAGAAGCCCGCGCACCGCAACGAAGAGTAGCCCCCGCTCACCCCAACTAGAGAAAGTCCGCGTGCAGCAACAAAGACCCAACACAGCCAAAGATAAATAAATTTAAAAAATAAAAATAAAGAATACTGGGTACTAAATAGATTGATTAGACTTAGCTGGTAATGCACAAAACCCCAAATTGGTGTTATTTCAATAAGGAAACAATCTAAGAATGAGCTTCTGGAAGTTGTGAATTTAAATGACATTTAAAAAGAAACGAATATATCTCTAAACATGCATCTAAATGTTTGCTGTGACCATTAAGGTAGAACTTATAATATTTAATCTAACAGTACTGCCTGTGATCAAAACAGTTTTTTATCAACTCTGAATATCCTCACTGGTAACAATATACTCAGGTTGGATATAGTTTTTGGAAATCACCTCAAGTAATTTAGGCTGCTGCATAAATTGCCTTTTAAATAAAACATTAAGTGTCACTCTCAAGTATGTTTAATGACCTAGTTATGGAGGCTATGTCCCCAAAAGGGGGATCCCTAAAACTATTTTGAGTAATAGTTCATCACTGGAACGATATAACCACAAAGTGAGTTCTTAAAGAGATCAGCTATTTGGGTTGCATGCTTTCATGTGTCTAAAAACAACTCTGTGCTCCATAGGCCCACTGCCTACATAAGCCCACCTAACTCCTATCCTGACTTATGGGACTTAAAACTGACATCAAAGTTATTTGCAGCAAAGCTCTAAATAGTCTACACTCATAGCTAAGGTTCTTTTCAGATCACATGTGTCTAACAGCCATTTTTCCCTCCATCTTCTGAACACATGAGAATATATAAAACATATAATTTGCAAACCAAGATAATTTCCTATCAGTGACCAATTGAGCTAGCCACGTGACCTACTAATATTAGTTTAAACACTATTTGGCAACAACAACTCTGAACGTGGCATCAGAAGAGGACAAGAAACATCCCTTAAACTTTACTTGTGACCCTTATTCATATGCCTGTCCTACTACATATTAGGTAGAATCACATGAAATTGACATTTCTGTAGGTCACACGTGGTTGAATATCAACACTTCATATGATTCGACTTAATAACACTGCTCTAAGACAAAGAAGTGTGAACACCTATCAACAGAACTGATGAGATAAAGACTTATCTTCATGGCCGTCTTCCTAGCAACAACTTGTATTCATACAAAGTTTGATAGTTTATGGAAACCTTAATATATGTATTATAGAACTTTGCACCTTTGTGAATCAGGCAGATCAGATACCCTGATCTCCACTTTACAGATGAGAAAATAAGGCTCAGATGTTAAGTCACTTGCTCAAATGTCCAAAAGTATGAAGCAAGGAATCAAACCTAAGCCCTCTGACTCCGGATCTTTGCTGCAAACAACCTTCCTTTAAAAGGATAATCAAAATCATCTAAGTATGAGCACATACACTCCCAGTGCGCGCTTGTGGACAGATTCCATAAATACTTATGTGATAAGTGTCTAGATTGGAATACTTAAGTGGTTTCAAAGATGTGGGTACATGCACAAGTACATTCTTATGCTTTATTTGCTCACATCTGCAACCTGGACCCTCACCCAGGACTGCATTCTTCTGTCCCACAGACTGTCTGCCCCTCACCCCCAAAGGTCACCACCCGGCTAACTGCACTCTGCATCCAGTGGGGAACAAAACATCACACTAAACATACACTGTAGGTCCCACACCGTGAATCGTGGCACAAGCCTATCTGACTTAGGATAACCAAAGCCTCAGATGTGATTCCCAGTAATATCATATTAATTGAATGAATGGCTGGCCTGTGACTCAAATTGATTTTGTGGTAATGTAATGACTCCACTTAAAGGTTCAAAGAAATATTTGCTGCAGCCTAAATTTGTTCTACAGTCATCACTGTTTACTGATGAAGGAAACAAGCTTTATATTAACTTCTAAACCAGGCAACTCCATACATTAGAATATCCACAGCAAGCAAGAGCTGGTGCTATGCGATAGGGCTTGCTTCTCAACCACCCACCCCTACTGGCCCATCAATCAATAACAGAATCTTTCTTGTTTACTAATTTAAAATAATATATATTTCACCAATGTTATCTTCAGATACAGAGACCGATAACCCCTTCCTACTGTCTGGTACTGTCAGGGTGTCAATTTGCAGGGATCAAATCTCACTTGTTACCAAGAAGACATATCAGTGACTATGGTGGCCATGTGGGGTGGGGGTGGATGAAGACACCTCATAACAGGCACGCGCATGCACACGCGCACACACGCACACGTGCCCCTTTGCTTTTGAATTATTTTTTTAATGCTTTAAATACTTACTCACACAACAGAACGCCATTCTCCAGGGAGGCTCGAAAATCCTTTGTCTCAAAATTCTTCTCTGTCACTGCCTGAAAGACATATTTGGGTATTAGTTTTCTCTAAATCAGGGATTATACACAAGTCAAATCCAGTATCAGATTAATTAACATGCATCTAATATCATACTTGGAGAACATGCCTGTATCACCAAAAGTTGTTCCATACAGGAAATTCTATGTACTGTTCTATGTTATAAAGAGAAAGGTTAACCATTTTAGTATGAACAAATATAAACAGAAAAAACCACAACAAGTGGTTTCTATGATGCAACCATTTTATGGAGGGTAAACAAAAGTTAGAAGCTTAATTTCGAGCATATTTTCTATTTAAAAAAGAAGCCCTATGGGCAATCTACTCTACTAAGAGTAAATAAAACCAGACTAAGATATAAACTTGAAATACCAACTGTATACGCACATCATTAATTTCAATTCCACCCTTAAATTCCTCAAGTTTCATTACAAAGCTAAATAGCAGAGGGCATGACTCTCCTTAAACGTATTCATGAAATGGCCCTGATTTGTGTAAAGAGCTATTTACTGCAATAGGAAGAAAAAGATTAAATCCTGACATTGAGAGACAAAAGACAGAGAGGGAAGATGGTACATACTCTAAACAGACAATTCCCCACTTAAGGCTTTTACATATGAACAGCCCATCTTCGGTTACCGCCACCAATGTTCTTAGTGAAACTGCTGAAAAAATGTCTACCAGTTCTGTCTTCCTCTGTCTTCTGAGGGTGGAGTGGTTGGGAGGAAAGGGGATTCCACAGGGACAAGAGTAGCAGAGAAAATGGAGGCCATGTAGGGAAAAGGTGCTCCAGGAATACCCTGGGACTGAGTCCCCAGCCAAGGGTGTGGGCAGGTGTACCACAACAGCTGGGACAGCAGCCACCCTAGAGATGGACCCACCACCCATAAGCAGAGGCCTTGCTCCACCTGCCACTTCAGGGAGAAATCTGATCTCGGAAACCTGATTGGGAAGTCACTAATCTTAAACCCTAGGTGAGCTACAAAGCTCCTGCTGTCCTTACTCACCACTGTGACCTTTACCGTCCACCTAGAGTCCCTGTATGTCTTCTGCATCTTTTCCACAACACCCAACAGTGCCACAGGTACACATAATAATGGGTAACTGACAAAACAATGGCTATTCCTATAATTAAAGTTGGTTTCTCATAAGCTGGTTCTATAAACAGGGGCAGGAAGCTGTGTCAGGAGGTGACACACTCAAAAGCAGGAAGAAGTAGCAGATCCTTTCCTACAAAGGTCATTAATCTACAGAAGGGCTATGTTGCTGCATGAATTAAACATTTGCTGAGTGTCTCCGTTACGTGCACTTACTTGGATACTGGGTGTAGATCTAAAAAAAAAAAATGCAAGGAGCTCACAGCCACGTAAGTAAAACACAGAGTTTAAGAGTTCAGTAAAACATATCCAAATGGAATGGTATATTCCTTCAGGGATAACCTTGAGTGGCCCATGTATTATCCCAGGTAACCTATGCAGCACAAACTCTCTTGAATTTTCCCCAAATAAATCCAAAACAAACTCAAGGTGAGCACTAATCCCAGCTAGTGAAAACATAGTAGCATCTCATTTATCTGGGAACTCCTACCCAAAGCTAAAAAGCATGAAAAAGTCCCAGGAACGGCCAAAGCAGATGTCAAAGCCCATTCTCTCTAGTCATTAGGAAAGCCACTCAGAGCCACCAATACTCAATTACCCACCACTGAAACAATCTAGGGATTACGTTCCCAAATTAAGGTAGATTAGAAGCAGTGAGTTAGAAGGAAGAAGGACTGTGACCCCACAGACACATGGAGAGCAGTGAAGAGTGACAGTCAACAGCACTGGATGGGCCAGTCGAGAGGCAGTGTAGCAAGTGACGAAATGGAAGGAGAAAGGGCGCAAGTCAGACAAAAATATATTCAAATCCCACTTTCATTATCTAGTAGCTGTGTGACCTTAAGCAAGTTGAATAGCTTCCATGAATCCCAGTCTGCTCATCTGAAACAGGGTAAATATCACCTACTTATTAGCTTATAATGGCCAAGATGCAGTGCAATCAAGTACCTGAGGGTAGCTCACAGAGGTATATGCTTAACCTCAATACACACATCAACCTTCAAGTAACACGCTGACAACACATCGCAATAATTAGCCCTCAAAAGAATACCTCTGGGGACTTCCCTGGTGGCACAGTGGTTGAGAATCTACCTGCCAATGCAGGGGACATGGGTTAGAGCCCTGGAGCAACTAAGGGCTGCTTAGTTGCACATGCCACGGAGCAACTAAGCCCAGGCGCCACAACTACTGAGCCTGCGCTCTAGAGCCAATGAGCCACAACTACTGAGCCTGTGTGCCACGACTACTTAAGCCCGTGTGCCTAGAGCCCGTGCTCTGCAACAGAAGCCACCACAATGAGAAGCCTGCCCACAGCAACGAAGAGTAGCCCCCGCTCGCTGCAACTAGAGAAAGCCCACGCGCAGCAACGAAGACTCAACACAGCCAAAAATAAATAAATATTTTTTAAGTTAAAAAAAAAGAATACCTCTGCACCATATAGACAAAAAAGCTGAGTTAGATTCAGAATATTAACAAAGTAGAAATAATGGAATATAGAGAGATATTTAGAAAACCCAGCTATCCAGAATGGTTCATTTCTCCAAAAAGACTACAGAAAGGCAAAATCATCGTATGTAGCGGATTTCAGACCACCTCCCTCCATATGTCAAAATATGAATGCACTCTTGTACATATACACTTATCAAAATATAAATAATGATGATATAAGACCAGACTCCATTTATACTGTATTTACAAAGACAGAATGTAAAAACTAAACAGATTCTTAAATGATAGTCTATATTTTGAAGACATGGGAATCTGGCATGCTCTGTACACTATTGAAGATAATATAAAATGACACCACCATTGCTGAAGGCAATTTGTAAAATGTGTCTGACATCTCTCTTTTTTTTTTTTTTTTTTTCCGGTACGCAGGCCTCTCACTGTTGTGGCCTCTCCCGTTGCGGCGCACAGGCTCCGGACGCGCAGGCTCAGCGGCCATGGCTCACGGTCCCAGCTGCTCCGCGGCATGTGGGATCCTCCCGGACCGGGGCACGAACCGTGTCCCCTGCATCGGCAGGCGGACTCTCAACCACTGCGCCACCAGGGAAGCTCGTGTCTGACATCTTAAACACACATTCTCTTGGGCACACTATGTGCAGATCTAGGAATTTATATTAAGTCAACAGGACAAGAACTCAGAGACATCAGTAGAAGAACTGCTTCACAGCATTACACATAATAGCAACAACTTAAAACACCCTGAATGCTCAACAATAAGAACTCAGATAAATTATAATATAACCATAAAACAGAAAACTTCATGAAATTACAATTCATGTCAGAAAAGTAGATTTATCACTTGTAGAGAATACTGAACATATTAATTATAAAGCAATTTGTCAAAAAGTACATGGAGTATGATCCCAATTTCTATAACTCTATGCATTATATAAATATGCATATATAAGTATGCATTATATAAATAAATATAGAATAAATATATTAACAGTAATTATTTCTAAGTGGTAGAATTATAGCTAATTTTAGTATTTTTTTGCATATGTATATTCTGTAGTAACCACAGGTGTTTCTTGTGCAATAGATATATAAATTAATATATTTTTAAAAACATTCAAAAGAAGTCAGATTCCATCAGATTTAGGTCAATTTCCTGTGTCTCCTACATTTAAAGGATAAAGGAAGAGAAGGACACCAGTTTTCATGTAGGTAATTTTTCTCATCTATGAAATAAACACATCCTCAAGTTTAATAATCCTTATTCTTACCCCTTTCACTAGTAAGAAGGTTGAGGTTCAGAAAGTTTAACTTTCTAGAAAGTTATAGAATCATCCACATGGAACAGATACCAAAAACCTACAGCATTTTACAAGCACTCAGTAAGAGCATGTTTCAAATGCATCAGACACAAAGTGTTTCTAAACTAAAAAAAGAAATTAAGTTGTCTTCCATCTGTGTTTAGACTTTTTTAATTTAAATTAATGTATTTTACCATGCAATGTGCCTTCAAAAATAATCCTCCACTGTTAAGGGTATTAAAAAGGTAACTCTGTAAATAAAAAATGTTGAATTAAATTTTTTTCAATGTTCCTGAAAAAAAACAGACTTGTGTCTTAACACATAATGACTGTGTGTGTGTATGTGTGTGTGTGTGTGTGTGTGATAAAGTGGCATTCTAAATGCTAATAAAATGAAAACTCATCTGTTAATGGTTTCAGCATTTCTCTTGACATTTTCCTGAACATTACAAAATGTTCATACTGTATATACTATCTACCTCAAGCTCAACAAGGAAAACCATCTGATCACTGTAAACTAAAATTTTTAATTAGCAATTTATATATCCATATAAATATAAACTCATCTAAGACCTCTCCTAAGAAATTAAAACAAAAAAGTTTTCCCAAGAGTTTTAAAGTAAAAAGAGAACATAAATTCATAGCAGGGATTTTCAGTCTATAGCAGCTGCCTGGGCCACGTTCCTTAAGAAACACACAGCAACACACAGCACGGCACCTACCATGGCCAGGTGAGGCCAGGGCGGGGCTCTAGAGCCTGTGAATCCCTGCCCCACTATTTCCTACCTATAACCCTGGACAGGGTGCTTAACCTCTTTGTTTTCTCAGGGATGCAACAGAGATATAGTACCTACGTCACAGGGCTGCACAGAGTATTAAATGGGATACTGCATATGAAGCCCTCAGCACTTGCCTGATTCAGAAAAAGCATTCACAAATGTTAGCACAATTAGCTATTACTATCCCTCTGTAGAATGAAAATAATAGTTTCATCTTAGCAAAGAGAAAGTCCATGTTGCCAGAAGTAACATCTTTTACTTAAAAGGAAGAAACTGAGTTACATTATAAAACTCCACTAGACTACCTTCTATATCCTGGAAACTGTAAAAAAAAAAAAAAAAATTATAGAGATCTAGAAAG